GTGGAGGAGTGGGGAATCAAACCCGGTTCTCCCAGATTAGAGTCCGCGCACTTCACCACGACACCAAACTGGCTGAACGGCACCACTTAACCGATACACCAGAGGCTGAACGGCAGCCACTGACCCAGAATATTCTCCGGCTTAAACGGGGAAGCGCCGCTGGAACGCCCCCCGTTCCCACCCCCGCTGCCCTGCCTGGCGGACTCACATGTTAAAGAAGTTGTGATGGTTGGCAAAGATGGCCCGCGGGTTCACGTAAAACTGGAGCAAGGGCCCGAAGATGACCACGGCGGCCAGCCACAGGTGGTACGCCCGGCGGAGGCAGGGCACTCCCAGCAGCCAAGCGAGCTGGTTGCTCCAGAAGCGCACCAGGCCCCAGCAAAGGGCCTGGGCCCAGCCGGCCACCGTGGCCAGGCGGGAGGAAGGCTTCTTGACCCCGGATCCCTCCGCCATCCCCCTGGGTTAGCCCACCCGCAGGCCTCCGAAAGACCCTCCCCTCCTCCGTCCGGGGAGGAAAGGGAAAGGGGAAAATTAAAGACGAAGCATCGCTCAGAACTGACTGACGCTTGACGACAGCTGCTGGGATCATATCCGAGTTTGGCAGGGACAGCTGATGGGGAGTGGGAGGGAGGAGACGGAGGGCGGAGCAAACAAATCCGCGGGGGGGGGGGACATGGACGGACTGTGTTTAAAAGCTCCCCTGCTACTACTCCTTTCTCAGACTCTGACGTTGAACTGCTGGAATCACTTGAAGAGTTATCTTTTATTGACACAGACAGTAGTTTGCACAGGTGCTCTCTCAGGAGGAAAGTGGGGGGGGACCCCCAAAAGAGGGGCACCCCCCCCATGAGCTCTCATACAGACGGCCCGGATTGTGTGTGGGGCCTGAGCAACTGTTCAGATGCAGAAATTTAATCAAGGCCTTCCCGGTCTTTCCCAAGTTTAGAAAACAAGAATCTCTATATGTTTTTCTTTACAAAAATTAGGGTGCCAGAAGGAGGCCCTGCAGAGGACTCCCCCCCCCAGTCCCACCCTGATTATATCCATAGTGGGGCAGGGGAACAGCTTTAACAACTCCAACAAGTCACATCAGGGGCTACTTCCCAATGTACCCCCCCAAAAAAACCTAGTACATACAATTTCCCCTCCTTCGCCTCATTAGGAAGGGGGGTGCGACGGAGGAAAATTCCCCTCCCTGCTCGAAAAGAGAGCCGCCGTATGTGCCGCCCTCGCAGGGGGAGAGGAGGAAGGTGCAGGACCGAAAAATGTCCTCGGGGAGGGATCCCAGCGGGCAATTCAAAGGGCAACGGGGGGGGGGGGGCGGGGT